CAGACCAGATCTCTGAGGAGCTCGGTGGAGCCCTCCTCGGCAACAGGCCACGCCCCCAGGAAGTCCGTTACTATTAATGTCTTGAGCAGGTTTGAGTTGCTTGTCACTTATTTTGTTCAAATTCTGTAGAGTCAATAATTTTGTTATGTTTTGTTAAGGTGCAATTACTGTAATTTTCAAAAGCTCATCCTTCTATAAAACAACAGTACCATCTGAACACGTTTGAAATAGAGCAGTTTTTTCTTCTAATGGCAGCAGTTTGTGTACTGACAAAAGCAGTCAATCATTCCTTTTTATCTCGGATGTTTGTGTGTTTCTTCCAGTGAAAGCAATAGAATTAGATCTTGGTTTTTCCTAAATATAGGAAAACCTATATTGAAGACTAGAAAACATCTGTGAAATCTTATACCTATATTGAAGGTTTTAAAGCCACTGTGGCATCTTATACAATTACATACACTTAATATAAAAACCATATTTTATTTCCATTATCATTCTGCAGACTATTATTTAAGAAACACTTATTCAGAAAAATATCCAAAGATCATTTGGAGGTGGTGGTGGAGAAAAAAGCTTACTTTCTCAGAAGCTGTCACAAAATAGCTTTAGATTTATATAAGAAAATAAAAGAGATATTGTCCCTATAATATGCTAAACGTGTATATTTATTTTGAATTTCACTTTGTCTTTCAGGTATTTTAACACCAGTGACAATAATTTACAATATTGGGGCCTTGACTACCCACCTCTTACTGCTTATCACAGTCTTCTGTGTGCTTATGTGTAAGTTAATTATTATATAGCCAATTGTTTAACGTAATTCTTTAAAAAGAAAACAAAATACGCTAATTCAGAAGTTATTTATATCCATAAGTGTTCTGTGGTATATTCAGAGATTAACATCTCTACTAAGATTTTTTTTTTAATGTGATGGAGAATCAGGAAAATGATTGGATATAGACGTTATATACAATGTTTGAATTCCCAGATCACTGGATTGGAGTCACATCAAGAAATGATTTCCATATTTGTAGTTGCAGGGACTTAATGTCTATTTTGTTCCTTAAATTCTATCTCCTCTAAATTAGGGAAAGCCCTTCAATATAAATCCTCCAAATTTTCCCAAAAGCGATATTCCAGCTACTTTGAAGAATTCTAGAGACTATGCTTTGGATGCAGGAGGCAATTGTGGGTTGCAAGTGCCCACCTCCGTACAATTTATTTTATAATATATTAGTTAAAGCATTCACATTATTTCATATTTTGCTAACAAACTACATGAAAGTACTATCCATATACCAAAATTGTTACAGATGAGACACAGTGTAGATTATACATTGCAAATAGATCTTATATATAGCCCAGGATTTATGTATTCAGCATAAGCATCTAATTATTTTTGTCCAGTTATATAGATGCATGTATCCTATGTTTACAAAGACTGTATTTGATTTTATATTATTGTAAATGGCCAAGGCATTTTCATTTTTCAGTTGCTTTACAACTATGATCATGCAATCCACTATCACAAGCTACGCAAAGTTGTTGAGAGTTGGGTGGCACACAAGTTTGATAAATGATTATTATCAGTATCAATATCACGGTAATAAGGATAGGCTTTAAGTGGGATTTCCCTGTTTTAATCTGTAGCAAGATAAAAACAACATTTGTTCACAGTGATCAATATGCATCTATGTTTTTAGTTTGCAGAGACTAATTGAGAAGCAGCTTTGAAGAGATATTACTTTAAAGTTTAAAAATGACAGAAATCTTGTGCTAAAGGACAGAAGAGACTTTAGATTTTATTTCTTATATTCTGCTTCAGGAATGGACGGTCTCTCTAGATTTTTAAAACTGCAGTTCTATTGTAGGTGGTTACACTGCCTTGTGGTGACAGGAATTGAAATTAAAAATATCAAGAGGGACTTCCGGTTTGGACNGTTGTTAAGTGAAGTGGTCACTGAGTGATTATGCTTATGAACTTACTTCAGCTTTCCTTTGCTTTATATACTTATGAGGACTGTGAGAATTGGTCACTTTTCATCACGATTGTAATGATGAATAGCTGCTATATGAGGCAGATGTGAGGGTGATCTGACATGTGTCTCCCTATTGCTCACCAGGCAAGGTTGATTTAGCTGATTTACTGGCTAGTCAGGTGCCTCTTTCCTCCCTTACCACTCCATGTGCTTCTTCTGAAAGCTGGACACTTGGTGGAGGAGGACAACCATCCCAGATAGAAAGAGTGTACCAGTCTTCAGTTAAGGGTATACAATAACTGCATGAGGCAGTAGCTAAATGAGAACTATCTATAATAAGATAGAATAATATATTATTCTTAAAGTAACTCATTGATAAAATCTAGCGTGAACAAATGCGTAGTACAAGTAATCTTCAACCTGCAACCATTCATTCAGACACTTAGGTCTGTATAAGTTAATAGCACTGTTTATTGTCTATGTATATTGGTTTAGGCAGCTGGTTAGAATATGCTGGTATTTAACTAATGGGGTAGGTGGATTATAATTTGTACTTTATACTTAGGGACCTTATTCAGAAGGCGTGGGCTCCAATCACTACAATAAAGTCATACTGGTATGATATTTTGAAGATCTGCATCTGTTTAATAATAACTTCAAATTGTTATGATTGGCAGCTTTTTCTCCCAATCTCCACCCAAAAAGAATTATATGTGTATATGTTTATCTGCATTAAAGTAATTCTTTACTAAAAGCAAGGCAAGGCAATAGTCCTCTGCCTATGCTCAGGCAATAATGATATTTAGTTGCTCCAGAAGTTCATTTCTGGTGGAACTTGTCCACATTTTACAAAGGGACAAATATTACCCTACTCTTCTTGCATGTATGAACTATCAAAAAGTAAATTATATGAAAGAATGATAAAAGTCTTTCCTAGATTTAAAAGAAACTTTTCAATTTATGTAGTTATAGTGTGTTAGCTGAAATATATATGTGCTTTCATTAGTTAATCAGGAGACAAGAAATGAATAATTGTATATATGATATTTACTTGGATGCTATAACAAATACACTGTTTCATATATCTTATATCTTGTTTAAAAAGAAGCCTATTCAAGAGAATAGCTGAGAGAATAGCAAGTAGAATTGAGCAAAATGGAACCTAATTTGCTACATATAAAATTGGTACCAACTTCAAGCTGAATTTGACTCAAGCATAACATTTGACTCAAGCATTACAATAGCAAAGAAAGTACTTTTTTGTATAAAGCTTAAAGAAAATGAAAGTGACTTATCTCCTTCATTGTACATGGATGGAGGTATGCAGTAGGACCAGTGGTGGGCTACGCTCCGGTATGGGCGTACCGGTGCCTGCTGGGAGCACCAGGTACCGTTCTGGTACAGTGCTCTGGAGGGGCCACCTGCACACCTGCTCTCCTTACTGCTATTTGAGTCAATCGGGGCTTACCCGCACAGAGCATATGGCGCCTGCGTGACGCTCAGCCGAGCAGTGGGCAGTAAGTATGAATGTGTGCGCTGCGCGCATGATGCACACATTCACGTGGTAGACACCGGGCCCCGTTGCAGCGTCCTATTGCAACAGGATCTGGAATCCACCACTGAGTAGGACCATATTTTTGAGGATACCAAGTATTAGGTGTTAGGTCCAAAAATGGTGATTAGAGAAGGTCTTTGATATAGGGCTGACTTTTTGCGGTCCTGTGGCATCCCAATTCTTTTTCTTGAAGATCAGAAGATCAAGCTATATATTGCAAGCTATTGGTCAGAGGAGTCTGTGAAATGGCAGATGGGGTGCTACATTAAGAAACATTGAAGATGGATTCTGCATGTATAGTATCATGTATGATTGTATGTTTCAAACGGAAGAATATCAATACTGTTTTTTTTTTGTATTTGAAAGAATTAGAAATATTTTCTGTTTAACATGGACACACATTTAGAATAGAAAACATTTATTTCTCAAGCATTTAATAAAAACACTAGTAGAATCATAACAATGGATAGCATATAGTTAACAAATAAGTACACAAACATATCTCATATTTTCTTCCTTTTGTGTTTTAGGTGCAGGAAAAGCACCTATGTATGGAGACTATGAAGCTCAAAGACACTGGCAAGAAATTACTTATAACCTGCCAGTCAAACACTGGTATGTCTTTATTTCAATTTAGACAAGGTGTGCCCATAGGCTGGAGGGGGGGAGATCTTAGCTGGACCATATAGCTTTGTACATAATTACATAAAAATAAGATCACTTTTCTTCAACGTGATATCCAAAATAGTATTATAGGAATGCAATTATTTTTCAGATCCAATATACTATATTATGTCTGTTCAGATTTATCTCAAAAGATGTCATTATGATCATATTAAGTATCTATATATACAATGCTTAGACAGATTAATCAAAATATTAAATGGGTTTGCAAGTGTTATAGAAATACAGTTTAGAAATTCCATTTCTAAAATGTGTAGTTGAAGCAGAAAGCATTGGTTTCTCATCTTTGGATTTATTATCTGATGTCTCTATATTATGCTCTGCCTTTGAATAGAAGTACATGCCTCTTCTGTGCTGTTGCTTCTCTTTAAAAAACCTAGTTTGATTGGAATCTGAAAAGAGGAGAAAAATGCTGTTTACCCATTAGATGAGCAAAGCACCAGAGAGAAAGATGAAGCATTGAAGCTATAGTTAGGAAAAACTAGTAATAAGTATTTGCCTTTTCTCTCAACATATCTTGGATAAGGGAAGATTATGATTATGATTCAGGACAGATAATGATTGGGAGGGTGTGCTAAGGGAAGAGTCTGCCTGAAGAAGAAAGCCCATTGTCAAGATTTTCCTTATCTTCCAGATGTAATAAACCATTCAGAAATATAAAAAGAAACAGTGATACAGAAGTTCTGTCCTTCCCCCACTTTTTCTTTTTTCTTATTAAGCTACACCTGTTTTGCAAATGAGTGGAAAGGTGCTGCGGTTTGGACATTGCAGCAATGCAAGCACAGCCGGTAGCCCCTCTTTTTTCGAACTTCTATTTCAAAGTTGAAAGTGCGATTGCTTAAGAGTCAAGTTAACTCTTAACAATTCAGCTCTTCTAAAGCGAATACACCTTTTTCAGGCTCACACAAAATTCTAAAGAAAGCTGGACCATTTTAATGAATAGCAAAAAGATGTTGCGCTCTCATAACATTTTCAAAATGTGCACAGCTTATGTTTATTAAATGTATTATTTTGATATTCTAAAGACTAATGTTTATTAAATGTATTATTTTAATTTCTGAAGACTCAGACTCAACATTTCCTTTCCACAGTCAAAACAATAGTGCTAAGACTAATAAATTTGGAGTTTGTTGCTTACTAGAGCACATAGTCTAGAAGCAAATAGGCTAATGTATTGTCTCAGTATAAGGCTTCAATATAGAATAAAGAGAAATGTTTTTGTGTAAATTATATTTATACTTAATAATAAATAATATGTTTAAATGATAGGCAAATTGGGTTTGATGAAGAGAGAAGATTGTTCAGTTCCAAAAGATTAATAAGTATAAGAATTTACAAGTAAGGGAATGAGAACCAGTGAAAGTGCACTTATCTGCCATCAAAACATATAATTACAATTATTGAATCCTTTCCACTAGTTTACTCTTGGGTAATTAGAATTTTCCTTCATGTATTGCTGAATAACGGGATATAGCAGTATCAAAAGTATATTTGGAAGCAATTTTATATTAGCTTTGTTTTGCAACAGCATCAAATATTTTGTGATTCATTATGCTACGTGCAACTTGGCATTTCTAGAAAGTTGGTTCCCCCAAAGTCTTTGCCTTTGAAGAGCTACTGTACAGTGATAACACTATGCATATATACACAAGTGATATTGCATGTACTTCACGTTTTCCTCCTTTGTTCAGAAGCAAAGTATATTAAAAAGGTGGGCAATAAACTAGAAATGTGATTTGTATGTAGTTTTCCTATATGTGGTTTTCCTGAGCCAGAGGCATGAATTTAAATCTTTCTGCCTTCCCTATCTTGCTTTGGAGTCCATGCATATATTTATCAAAGACAATCTTGACAGCATCTTTTCTTCCTTATTGCTAGTTAGAAATATGGAATTTCTTAGCCTTCTCTTCATCAGTATGCACGAACCTTTTCTAATGGAGTCTAAGACTGAATTAGAGGGCAATGCTGGATGAATAAATGAGATATTAACAAGTAAAACGCAGAATATTAATAGTGTAATGAAGAAGTTAAAACTATCTTGGTGTGAGACAATTTAAATAGTGGGATAAAAGGGTAGAGATGCAGCTTTAAGAAATATGATTTATCATGAATTGTTCATAAGATACTTCAGGCTGCTTATAAGGTATTCAAGAAATATCATTTATTGCAATAAATG